GAGCTGAATAAGCTAACGTTGAAGAACCGTTATCCGCTTCCGATGATTGATGATTTGTTTGACCAACTTCAGGGTGCATCTTTGTTTTACAAGATTGATCTCCGTTCGGGTATCATCATATGATGGTCAGAGAGGATGATGTGTAGAAGATGGACTTCCAAACTCGTTATGGTCATTAGAAGTTTTTGGTGATGTCCTTTGGGCTCACCAATGCTCCAACCGTGTTCATGGACCTCATGAACCGCGTATGCAGGACTATGCTGGATCGGTCTGTGATTGTGTTTATCGATGATATTCTGGTCTATTCTAAGACCCAGGAGCTTCATGAGGAGCATATGAGGGAGGTGTTGGACGCCTTAAGGAGGGAGAGATTGTATGTGAAGTTCTCTAAGTGCAAGTTCTGGTTGCACGAGGTGCAGTTTCTGGGGTATCTTGTCAACCAGAACGGTATTCAGGTCAACCCGACCAAGGTCGAGATGGTGATGGGGATGGGAGGTTCCGAAGTCTCCATCTAAGATTCGGAGTTTCCTTGGTTTGGCAGGCTACTACCGAAGATTTATCCAGGATTTCTCCAAGATAGCGGTTCCTCTGACTCGATTGACAAAGAAGACTGTCACTTTTTGCTGGGGGCCTGAGCAACAGACAACTTTTGAGACCCTGAGATAGAGATTGTGTGAGGCACCGATTCTGACCCCCTACTAGAGGGTGTTAAGGATTTTGTAGTTTATTGTGATGTATCTATCACGGGTTTGGGTGTAGTTCTGATGCAGATGGGTCACATTATTGCTTACGCTTCAAGGAAGTTGAAGCCTCATGAGGCGAATTATCCGATGCATGATTTGGAGTTGGGGGAGGTGGTATTCGCCCTCAAGATTTAGCGACATTACCTCTATGGGGTTCGCTGTACTATCAACATGTATCACAAGAGCCTGAGGTATTTGATGGATCAGCAGAATCTGAACATGAGGCAGTGCCGGTGGTTGGATGTGGTGAAAGATTATGATTTTGAGATCCTTTACCATCCAGTGAAGGCCAATTTAGTGGTCGATGCTCTCAGCCGCAAGGCGGTCACAAATCCGACCAGGGATATCTGTATGAGGATGACAATGATTACTCCACTCTTAGAGTAGATTCGAGAGGCTCAAGTTAAGGCTATGAAGGAAGAGCACCGGAAGAGTGAGCGCATAGTGGGTCAGGTGGTTTCCTTCGATTATGATAACTGGGGCTTATTAACTCTCTGTCAAAGAGTGTTGGTTCCTTATTAGGGCGGTGCGCATCAGGTACAGATGGATGAGGCGCATAATTCGAGGTTCTTTATCCATCCCGAAGCAATAAAGATGTACAAAGATCTTCATCGTGATTATTTGGTGGTCATGTGTGAAGCGGGATGTAGCTTGGTATGTAGAGAGGTTATTGACTTGTAGGAAAGTCAAGGCAGGACATCAGCGGAATCACGGAAAGATGCATGTGTTAGCCATTCCTGTTTGGAAATGGGAAGAGATTACCATGGATTTCATAATGAAGTTACCTGGGACGGCGCACATAGTGGATTCGATTTATGTCATCGTGGATTGATTAACCAAGAGCGCTCATTTTATTCCGATTCAGGAGAGTATCTTTGCTGAGAAGTTGGCTGATATATACATCAGGGAGGTTGTGACACGTCATGGGGTGTCAGTTTCAGTGGTTTCAGACAGGGATGTCCGGTTCACTTCTGGGTTTTGGAAGAGGTTTCACGAGGAGTTGAGTACTCGTATGTATTTTAGCATGGATTTCCATCCGCATACTGACAGACAAAGTGAGCGGACTATCTAGACTTTGGAGGATATGCTTCAGGCATGTGTATTGGATTTGGGTGGGATTTGGGATACGTATCTCCCTTTGGCGGAGTTTTCGTATAACAAAAGTTATCACGTCAGCATTGCTCGACCTCCTTTTGAGATGCTCTATGGGAGGAAATGCATGAACCCGATATGTTGGGGTGAGGTGGGTCAACGAGTCATGGGGAGTACCGAAGTGGTACTTAAGACCATGGAGTTGATTCAACAGGTTCAGAGTAGACTTCAGACAACACAGAGTCCGCATAAGAGCTATGCTGACAAGCGCCGATCAGACCTAGAGTTCTAGGTTGGGGATATGGTTCTCCTGAAGGTGTCGCCTTGGAAATGTGTCATCTGATTCAGGAAGAGGGGCAAGTTGGGCCACGGGTACATCAGTCCTTTCAGGATTTTGGTCGGGTGGGCCGGGTTGCTTATCGCTTGGATCTACCTGAGGAGCTTAGTCAGATCAATAACACATTTCATGTCTCTCAGCTGCAGAAATGTTTGGTTGATGATTATGCAATGGTTCCATTGGAGGATATTCAGGTGGATGATCGCCTGAATTATATCGAGAGACCGATGATGATTCTTGATCGAAAGACGAAAACCTTAAGGAACAAGGTTGTTTAGTTGGTGAAAGTGTAGTGGCAACACTGCAAAGGTTCAGAATGGACATGGGAGCCGGAGGATGAGATTGGGGAGTACCACCCAGTGTTATTTGTGGTAGCGGACTTCGAGGACGAAGTATGATTCAAGTGGGGGAGAATTGTAACATTTGCGATTTGGGGTATGTTCCTTTTATACCCTATTTGTAAATTCTTTTCATTTTGGTCCCTAGCCGAGTATGTTGGGCGTACTCTATTAGTACGTTGTGCATACTGGCTTGAAGTTTGGATGCGGAGGCACCCACGTACGCTGAGCGTACATGGGAGTATGTTGGGCATACGCTAAGCGAGGGCAAACCCTAATTTTTAGGGTTTGTGCCTTATTTAAGCAACTTATGTTGCCTTAGGTGCATCGTATGTTCCACCTCTACTCCTCCAAACCCTAAGATCGAAACCCTAATTTCCATTTATGAGATTTGAGCTTGGAAGTGAGTTTTGGTGGTGTTTTTGGTGATTTGAAGGAAGAAGAACAGTTGGAGGTTGCTTTGGTGTGGCTTGAGCTTGTAGATCCAGATTTCTCTCATCATTTCCAACTTCATTGAGGTATAAAGCTTTGAACTTGGTCCTTATTTGCTTAGATCTAGTCTTTATGAAGTTTTGCTCCCATTTTGGTCATATGATGAGATCTAGTGGATTCCTTCCACTCCAGAAGTTAGGAGTTGCTTCTCTTGATGTTTTTGAGGTCCTTAGTCCATAAAGTTAGCATCTTGATGGTAATTGTAACATCCCGATGATAATGTATGAATTTATTTCCGAATTGTGCATAATTCCTTTTTGGCCGCGACGTGGCGAAGCCTCACCACGATATGACGAAGCCTCACCACGGCGTGACGATAAGCTTTTGGACCGTGGAGTTTAATGGACCACCACGACTTGGTGGTGTTGTACCACCGCGTGGTGGCGACTGATGGAGAAAACCCTAAAGTTTAAGGGTTGAGCCCTATTTAAGGATCCTTAACCCCCCCCACCCCATAGCCTCCCTCACATTAGCCTCCATTCCCCCAAATCGTTCCTTGCAAACCCTAATCATCTTTCCCCATTTTTAAGCTAGTTTGGTGCTTTTTGAAGCTAAAGAAGGAAGAATGAGGAAGAATGAAGCAAAGATCAAGCAAGGAAGTCCTCATTCTTCATCTTGGCACTATTCTGGACCTTTGTAAGTATCCAAGACTCGATTTTTTTTTATCATTCCACGTTTTTAGATCTTGAGTTTTGTCCATTTAGTTTTTGTTATTGAATGTTGGAATGGTTAGACCTCATAAAGTTTGCAACTTTATGGTCAAGGTGATCTAGTAGTGTCTTAGATCCGGACTATAATCAAGTTTATGTCATGCATAGAGATTGGGATATAAATTGTCATTTTGACCTAAATGAGTTCAAGACATGCATTGGGCATGAAAGTCTATAAAGCACCAACCTTTGGGATGGTTTAGGTGTTTTAAGCACTTCTGGAAAGGATGGACTTTGGACTTTAAGGATTAAGTACTTACTGGTTAAGCCCTTGCATTATTCAGCTTTATTGTTTTGGGTTTTGGACTTTTTTGGATAGTCCCAATGGATAAAGTTAGAAACTTTATCCTTCTAGATCGCATTTTGGCCTAGATCTGAGCTTTGGAGCTCTTGGAGTTGAAGAAAGCAACTGAATGTATTAAGCTGTTGAAACTTAGGCAACCACAACGTGGTTGTAAGTCAACACGACGTGTTGGCTGGGGTTTTTCCCAACTGATTGGATGCTGGCGGAACACGGTGTAGCCGAGGGGCAACACGACGTGTTGGGTCAACATAGACTATTGACCTTTAACTTTAACCAAGTTTGACCTAAGGGGTATTTGAGGTATTTTGGGTTGTATCTAAGGATTGGTCACTGTTTGATGAATAGGTGACAAGTAGAGCTGATATTCGGAGCCGGACTTATTCAGCTACTGTTCAGATCCAGATGTTAGTTTTCCTCAAATGTACTTACGAGTCGAAGGCACCAAGACCGACCCTTTTGGATTCGATATCCTGTTATGCATGATATTGTACTGTAGTGATCTGTTAGATCGGTATCCTGACATATAGGATGATGCTATGCTTAGTGATCAGTAGATCTGTCTGTCTGACTGTCTATAGATTGTTATATGATTATCTGTTATATGTGTATATGTTTGGTTGGTGGTTGAGGCTTTACAGCTTTAGTTTCCGAAAAATAAAGATTATTTTTGCTAGTAATCTTGTTTATACGGGTTATATTAGTTAATATCCTCAAAAATAATCTTATAGGGTATCATACAATCTCGAAGCAGTCCATAAAAAAAATCTAAACTGAACCGGTCTAAAACGAAACTAGACCAAAAAGATACCAGATCATTCCGAGACTGAGGCAAGCTACTCTAAAACCATATCATTTTTAAACCGAAACCGATTCGCCAATATACATATCTTCAAGTCTAGACTCTAATCACTATAAGGCGGGTTGACCCAGCAAAACTCGATCATGGTAAGTTGGTAACCAATCAATTAAGATTGTTTAGAAACCCAGTAACCGGATTCTATTAGTCTTCTAGATTCTTCTTTGGCCTGCTTACCACTATATCCATTTGAGTTCATTCACAGATCTAGGGTTACAAAACTCTAGAATCTTCCACTCCTTGAACCCTCTAGACGCTCCTTTTCTTGCCCTTTATCTCCTCCATCGAAATCCCATCGCCGCCGCGTCTGATTTCCATAACGAGTACCTACCCTGTCTTACACTTCAAGTTCTCTGTTCTTCAGCAACATTAATGGCGAAATATGGAGAAGGGGATAAGCGTTGGATCGTTGAAGACAGACCAGACGGAGCGAATGTTCACAACTGGCACTGGGCCGAGACCAATTGCCTCGAATGGTCCAGAAACTTACTGTCGAAGCTCCTCGCGGACCAAACAATACTCGACGGAGAAGGGAACCTCTTCATCAAGACAAAAAAGATTGAAAAAGTGGAAGGAGAGGCTTACGTTAATGTTCGAAAGGGGAAAATTATTCCAGGTTACGAGTTAAGCGTTTCAATCAATTGGCAAGGCGAGGCGCGAGATGCTGAGGGGAAATCTCTCTTGATAGCCGATGGAGTTGTTGAAATTCCTTATATTGCGGATGAAAACGCCGACGAGGATCCTGATCTTAGGGTTATTGTGAAGGATGAAGGTCCGATCGGGAGGAGATTGAAGGATGCCTTCCTGGCGAAGGGGAAAGATTTTGTTTTGAAACAGATTCGGGTTTACGTCGATGCCATGGCAAAAGGTGGACCTGCAAAAGATGAATTGGAGGTGAAGAAGGTAACTTCCAAGCAAGCGGCAGCTCCTGTGTCGGCTCCACCGGTTGCTGCACCTGTCAAGAAGGTGGAGGAGAAGAAGGAGAAGAAGAAAGAAGGGTTTAAGACGATTAAGCTGACAGAAAAGTTTAGCTGTAGGGCGAAAGATATGTTTGAGATCTTGATGGATGACAACAGATGGAAGGGTTTTACGCAAAGTAATGCTAGAATTAGCAAAGAGATTGGTGGGGAGATTAGTATCTTCGATGGATCGGTTACTGGAACAAATTTGGAGTTGCAGGAGGGCAAATTGATCGTTCAAAAATGGAGGTTTGGAAGCTGGCCTGATGGCATCCACTCTACGGTATGTTTGTTTTAATTCAGTATCTTCGTTCTTTTTCATTCCACCTAAAGAAACTGTTCGATAATTGTCTTCTTAAGGCGATATTCATGTAAGTGGCAATATTTGTATGGTTTTGTGTATTGATCTATACACTTCTTGACATGACAAAGGAGTTTGCAGGTCTATAAGAATTAAAAAAAACAGAATATTAGTGTGCACATGTGCCTAGACGAACGTAAAACTTCATTCTTTTCACCATGAAAATCAAGAAAAGAATACACCTATGAACATGTGTCATGGGATTTAACAGAAAGACCCAAGGAATCTGATTTTTAGGTAGAAAGGCATTTCATTTATAATGTGACACCATTTTGTTTCTTCAACCTTAATGGTTAGCTCCATGTTTGCATCATATATGGGAATTCTTTTGTAGATCTTGTTTTATTCTGAACATTTGATGATTTGATTAAACCAAAGTTTCTTTATTCATGTGGGGTTCCTACTATCTCACCACTCGGACCAAATCTTGAATCTTCTAACATGTTATTGACCATAAAAATGTCAAATGACTGAAATGAGTTGCAATTTTTGGTTGTTATTCTGCAGGTTAGATTGGTTTTAGAGGAGCCTGAACCTGGAGTCACGGTTGTGAAGTTGACACAGACTGATGTTCCAGACGAAGACAGGTTTGTTCTTAGTCATCAGAAACTTTTTAATTTTTAGGATGAGAGAGCAAGGGCATTTATGTCTTTTCATATATAGCATAACAACATTTGGAAACTATGATGCAGGTATGGTAATTCAACTGTGGTGGAGAACACAGAGAGAGGATGGCGGGATCTAATTTTCCACAAGATAAGAGCGGTTTTTGGGTTTGGTGTTTGAAAGGTGCACGACTTAATTAATGTATTTGGTGAAATGTAGAATTATCAAGTATGAAAGTTGGAGTAATAAATTTGATTATTGTGGATTGGTTGAAGGACACTGAATATTATTGTGTCAATCATCAATGCGTCGAATTGAATTTGTCTTTCTGTCAAAACTCTAATGCTTTTGTGTTTGAACATTACAACACAGTTGATTTTGTGGGTTGGTTGTCTTTGTCTTCAGTTCTGCGTTTAGATCAGCTCTTTTGAAAATGTTTTCTTTTTAATGTTAAAAAATGTATTTACTATTTACAATATTTATGTAGATAGTGTTTATATTAGGTATAAAGTGTTTTGACTATATCTAATTTGATTTTGTTTCACTTGAATAAGTCTTTTAGTCTCTAGGAGAGCCTATTCTTCAGGCAAATCACACTAAATTTAGGGATCTTTATTTGTTTAAGTTTTATAAAGGTTATATAGATAGCCTTCTGTTTTGTTACTTCTTATATATATATATATATATATATATATATATATATATATATATATATATATACTTGCCCAGAGAAAATGACCAACATAACCCTGCAAGTTTGGATTTTTACAAATGTTGTCCCAAGCAATCCAGTGGTGCTTGTGCTCATCATTGGAATCCCATAATAAATTAGCCATAACACTTTTCATCTTAGAAATATGGGGAAGGGTCAAAGTTATGTTGCGAGCTAGCGAATGTTTGGATCGTGATCAAGTCTGTAACGAAGCTGCGACCACACCTATTGCCATGTCATTCCTTGAAGAACCATCTTTGTTCAACAAAAGGAGGAGCCCATTTGATCCATTTGCGCTTTGCGCCTCGACTCAGTACTTGATAGACTATCTAATGAAGAATCTGCGAATCCCAAGAAGTCCATATCGGTCTGCTAGTTCACGCAAATTCGAAGAAGTTATCACGGGTGAGCGACATGTAGGGGAACTCTAACACAGAAGACTCCTTACCTCAGGAGCGTGATGAGTATATGTATAAAACTAATTTTGGGATTAGGCACAGTTTGAAAAATCTTTTAGATGCACATATCCCCCCGAGAGGGCGATTGAGACGTGGGCATAAGGGCTTTTATGACACAATTAATAATTCGCTTCATTTTCAGTTAGGCCTTGATATAGCTTCTTTAGGGGTTATTACTTCTTTGGTAGCTCTCCCCTTTGTCTCAGAGGGCTAGCTTTTTTGGGAGATCTAAAAAAATATCCAAAACCTCCTTGGTAGAGGTCTGATTCTATTCCTTGGACTAGTTAATGAGTTAGTTTAACAACCTTCGGTAACTCCTAATTAGCTACATAACAAGAGAAATATTATGAACCAATCTTTGAATCAGGCTATCGTCTGCCTAAAAGAAAGCTCTAGCCATGGAGCTTGGATACGGTTTCCGGATCGGAGATCCATGGCTCACAGATGGTATCTCCCCATGGCCTTTTGCCTCTGAAAGCGTCCTAGTTACGAATGACCCAATCTATCTATGGCAACCACCCCTACTTTTAGTAGATGGAGATACACACCTAGGAAAGTGCAGAATAGGCCTATGTGTCGGCCAGTGCGATCCAAAATAGAAAAACTTCAATAATTTCTATTTATTTGAAAGGGGAAAAATATAGGGTTCCAAACCTGCTGGGAACAATCTCTCTCCGCTTGAATGTTCTTGCTTCCCTTGCTTTAACCTGACATTAAAAGTCACTTAGACTCTTCATCTTAGCTTGTAGCTGTTTGATTGTCCTCCGATTCTGGCTCTTGTCCACCTCAGTTGTTTACTAACAACTTCATTTTCCGACCTGGAAAACCAATTAGGCTCTCTTTCAAGCATAAGTAAAGGACTGTTGCTTTCAAACTAACTAGCCAGAAGAGGAGAGCGCTAACTTATATATATATATATATATATATATATATATATATATATATATATCACATTTTGTATTAAGGTCCTTTGAGTGTGGGCGAGTGAATCTCACATGGCATGATCAAAATGTCAACTTTAAACACAAGTTTGTGTTACTTGCCATTTTGAAGTTTGATCAATAACAATGGAAAACTTTTTGAGAAGCCGGAAATGTGGAGAGTGGTGGAAAAAGGTTAATAAGTACTTGTTCCAGCCGGTAGGGAGATTCTGAAAACCATACTTAGCATTGAAAAGGGAGTTTGAGTTGCTGGCTATGAAGGAATGAGATAAGGTGAACAGTTTCTTAGGAAGAACCTTAATGGTTGTAAACAAAAAATGAATTCTAATGGCAAGATCATGGAGCAACATATGGTTGTTAGCAAAGTACTTAGGTCCTACAACTAGATTTAATTAAATATAGTTTGTTACATATAAGAATGAAATTGATGTGGATACCTTGCGCATGAGTGAATTGCATGGAAGTCTCCTTGTTCATGACCAAAGGGTGCAAGGCAACTAGAAGGTGTTCATGAACAAAGGGTGCAAGGCAACTAGAAGGTGTTAGATAAGGAGTCGAGGCTCAGTTAGAGGTGGGCATGGCCAAGGAAGGGGAAGAGGACCTTTCAACAAAGCAATCATCAAATGCCATAAATGCCATAAGTTAGGGCACTTACAATATGAGTGTTGACTGCACAGATTATACTAAATTTAAGGAAGATAAAGATTAAGACTTAAAAGAGATTTTTGAAGTAAGCACCCATGGCCCAGGCATGTGTGGCCACAAAACCCATATGTTGGTGTATGTAAACCATTTCCTGTAAATTCTCATGTGAAAAAGACAATCTTGATGTCTAGTTGGTGAATGAGCCATGACTTGGAGATCCAAGGGCTATACTTAGAAGGACTCATATTGTGTTCAGAATGACAACATGACAATGTTACCAAACAATCAATACCAAATTGTTGGGAGCGACCATCAACAACAAGGCGTGCTTCGTAACTCTTAAAAGTCCCATTCGAGTTCATTCCCATATTTTGAAAACCGGATCGGACCGGCCGGTTCGACCGGGAACCGGTCCCGACTCCGGTTCTTAAAGGCCAAAAAACCGGTATTCATGTAAATCGGTGAAAACCGGTAAAAACTGGGCCGGTTGAACCGGTAAAACCGGAAATTTTAAAAAAAATTTATTTTTTTTCATTTTTTGTATTTTTTATATAATTAAATATAATTATGACATCATCCGGTTTTTCCGGTTTTTGAGACCAGTCCGACCGGTTGGACCACTTGAACCATCGAACCAGTAAGACGACCGGTTCGGTCTCCGGTCCGGTTTTCAAAACCTTGGTTCATTCTACGTTTAAAAATCTACATAAAGTGCATATAGGACATATCCAGATGTCATGGGACGGGGATCGAAGTCTTGTAATTAGTTAGAGCGCTAAGTTCATCGGTCATGACATTTTTCCAATTTTGTATAAGATAGGGCTTCCTTAGGCTTGCAGGGAATGGGAGAGATAGAGGAAGTATAAGAGAGATTAATTTGAATTTTAGGATTGGTAATTCTGTGACAACCGTCAATTTTTGGCCAAGTCAAAGTCAACTAAAGTCAGCGAGTCAAACCGGTCACTCATCTAACCCTTGTACATTAGGGTTTCCATTATGTTTCTTATTGAACAACTCGCAATCTTAATACAAAGTATCACTTAGAGTTTTCACGTGTTCGGAAATTCTAAACCCTAATCAGGGCAAGTGATGAAACTACTCGATAAAACATTATTCCTTAACCCTCAGGGGCATATAGCAATCATAACGACACTTAACGGGATGTACAAACCTTGCGTTGCGAAGCCAAACACTCAAAAAGGTCACAAAAGAAGTCTCTCCCAATCTCTTTCACTCTAACTCTCCTAAAACTCTCTAATTAGGAGAAATCGCTCCAAGAATGTGAAATCTCTCCCAAATCTCTCCAAGAATGTGAAATCTCTCCCAAATCTCTCTCTGTATGAGAAATCTCTCCAAGAATGTGAAATCTCTTCCAAATCTCTCTCTGTATGTCAAATCCCTCCAAGTATGTCAAATCTCTCCCAAATCTCTCTTAAAATCTCTCTCAACTTCTTATAATCACTCGGGGCATCCTGACCCTTAATTTAGTCGAAAACCGCTCTAAAACGGAAGTCTACGCGAAAAACAACCTTAAGGAGCCGGAACCCCTCTTAGGAGCCGAACCTCCTGAGAACCGAAACCCTCTCAACCGAAATGGACCGAGCGCTCTGTCTATTTCGGTCCCCTAATCATTCCAAACCGAGCCTGACCTTCTGCTCTTCTCTTCTCACTTTCGGTCCGAGAGGACTACACCTTCGGTCCGAGGACCTGACCTTCGGTCCGAGGACTTGACCTTCGGTTCCGAGATGCGAGCCACGACCGAACCCTCGCACCTTCGGTCCTCTCTTCTACTCTCGGTTCCTTCCTTCTCCACTCTCGGTTCTCACTCCCTTAGAACCGAACCTCGCAGGTTCGGTCCAGATTGCCGGTTTTTGACCCAAACTTCGTTTTAAGCCCGTTTTTCGAGATTTTAACGCGAGATTTTCACCCAAACTCGTATTTTAACATAATAAACCCCAAATATTCATATTTTAACTATATTTTGAGGAAAATCATTGCCTAAGAATAAAATCTATTTGGTGAGATATTTAGGTGGAGTGTTGACCTTTGGACAAGGACACAAGCAACCTCCCCATACTTCCATAGTACAACCCTCAGTCACTATTCCTCCATGCTTAGTCAATTAATTGTCCTTTCACACTATTTCACCAGCCCCATAATCAGATCAAAGGGCTGGAAAAGCTTCACTTCACTTCCCTCAATATTCACTCTTTCTCAAAAAGGATCAAACCCATTTCTCTCTCACTTCCTCTCTCTAAAATTCGAGCTTCAAAGGCTGGTCTTGGGTTCTTCCCCCACATTTGGTAAGTATCTTCCTCCTACACTTAGATATTCTACTACCCTTCATCCAAATCATAGATTGCTCACACAAATATCGTCATATTTGTGTTAGATCTTCGAATCTTCAAGCATCATCTAAGTGTTCTCGAGCTGAACACTTCTCTTCTTCATCATCCATCTACTGAAATCACTCAAGGTGAGTTCATACCCCTACATTTTTTCATGTTTTCTTCAGTTTTCAGGGGGGAATACAAGTTAAAACACCAAGAACACAACTAAACTCAAACAACAGCTCTCATCAGAAAAGTTGAGTCTTATTCACGGACTGTTTTGACTATCTTAAACTTAATATCTTTCAAAACT